CTAGGTCATCTCTGAGAATGTTGCAGAAATTTATAGCACCTTGTTTTGTTTCAGAATTTATGCTTTTGATAAATTTATTTCAGTAGATTGTTTTGCTTGGTGGGCTGTATTTTAATTCTTTAAATTTTGTCTCTAGCTCTGAGTGATTTATTCAGAAGTGTCTGGGCCGCAGATGAGTTTTCTAATACTAATTGATGTGTTATAATGCCTGTGCACCCTAGGGTGGCTTTTATATTTTACTGCATTTTAAGCAGTTTTACTTTAACTGCTTACTTTTTATTTTTTGGTACTTTTTTTAAAACAAGTGATGTCTGTTATAGCTTATCTATTTTTTCATCTTTTTTAAAATGATTTTTTAATCTTATATTAAGCAGCCTCTTCATGAAGAAAATATAAAATAGGTATAGAGGAATGACTTGATATTTCTGACAAGTGTATTAATGTAAATATGAGAAATACTTTTTGCTAATAATTTGGAAATTGTTGTACCATTGACCATCTTTATAGAAATATACAATTAACAGTTATTCTGTAGTTTGGATAAAATAAGAGTAAAATCAGCTAGAAATTTTCAAAATCAATGACTGGAGATCATTTTTAATGAGCTCATCTTTCCTGTAAACTTTTAAAGCTACATTTTTTTTGTCTTTAGATTCCTGAAACTATGTTCTTTACCACATCTGTCTAATGAGACCCAGTGACCATGATTCAAACTAGCTGTGGACCCCGAAAGCAAGCTGTGCTTTGGTCACACGATGAGGATGACCAGGAGGCGGCTGGGGACGACGTCAGGAGATGACACTGTTGTGAGTTCCTACGTGCTAACAGCTTCACTCATGCCATTTGTCACAGCCATCACACAATGGCGTTTCCCTGTTCTGCCCCCGTTTCACAGACGAGGGAACGAAACCCAGCAGGTGACCTGAGACCGTTCAGGTGTGAAGCCGCGGGTGGTGTCCCTGCTACGGGGTGGAAGGCCCTCCCGTGACGCCCCATCCTCCCAGCTCCCAGTCGTGGGCGATGGGCTCCCACCAATCAGGCAGGCAGGGCTCAAGGCCGGTGGGCAGCTTTTCTTTACAAACCACTCTGGGATTACTCATGGTAAAGGACCGCCCTCCCCCTCTCTTTCTTAGGTATCGTAACTACTATTATCACCATTTTCTCTCTGCTTCTTCGTGGTTCTGTGGAATGAACTTAAGCCACACCCCGTAAGATCTTATTTTGTTTTAAAAATTTTATTTTTAAAATACATTATGATACACCCTGATGTGAGACTAGGAGACACTGTCATTTTATTGAAACCTCTTTAGAGAAAGTCCAGTAGCAAATGGACTTGATGCTACTTCGCTCTGCAGGAAGAAAGAACACTTTTTCATTACTCAGTGATGAACTGCATGATAAAATCTCGATGGAGCCAGATCTATATTTTATTAACATTTTTATTGCTACGTGCTCCCAATACAACAGACAGCATCAGTAGTGTACACTTTGATAAAAAAGAACTTTTAGCTTAGTAGAGAAGGAAGCTGGAAGATCAGAAGTATGACGAATGTGTGCATCTTTATGGGAGGTGTATGCGTGTGACCATCTTTCTCTACACTCCCCTGCACACCAGATGTACACACATGCAAGCAGGCTAGAGAGCACGCATTCTGGGGAAACTGGGGGGTGGGAATCACTGCTACTTGAGGCTCAGGGGTTGCTTTGCCATCTGGAATTCACCTAATTCATTTGACTTTCAAAGGTCTTGCACAAAGTAGCAGCGATTCCTTGGAGGTATAGAGTCAATAGATGAAGCTGCTACTTTACTGTGGTTAAAACGCAGCAGTCCTTGCACAGTCTGTGCTTTGAAGGTTGACATGTCTTCATGTTTGTATGCACAATACATTTTTAAACAGTTCAGGAACTGACCTAAAAAACATTACGGTGACATGCATCTTTCTTTTTTCTTTAAAGTATAATTCATGACGTGCATATCTCCTTCACATACGTTTTTAAAAGTGTTTCTAATTCACTATTTCATAAAAAGCTAGCTGAGTCCATACTATTTTATGTTTCATTGAAGGGGAGCAAATCAGCTTTGTTTCAACTACTTTAAAAATGCAAATAGTCTGCCTCACATCAAATGTGTTCAGTTTTAGCTCTTTGTTTGGCTGTTGTGGTTCGCTTACATTTCTCCTGCAGGCACAGAACAAAGCATGCATCTCTAATTATGTCTCTCTAGTTTACCAAAATATGTCATTGATATTAGCATAGATATTTAGTACATAAAAATACTATCGAGAAAAAAAATCAAAAATCAACTTTTAATAAATATCTTCAGTTCTGAACTCTATATACAAGTACTTTACATCTACTCCCTGGAGAGAGCATTTCTGGCTTCACTGTGAGTAAGGTGACCACTGACATAAATTACTAGCACATTATTGCAGTCAGATGCATTGTGGTTGTGAACATTTGGGTATGTGAACCATGCAGAAAATAAATATTGCAACCATGAACAAATGCTTCCTTGGACCTGCTTCCAAAGTCCAAAGCCCTACTATACTTGAATATCAACTCTAGTTCAATAATGCTTTTCTCAGCTACCAACATACAAACAAATTATCTCAATACATATTCCTTTGTTATTATTACAGTACATTGAGTATGCTTTCTCTTGGATATGTCAGCACTGGAAACATAAAAAACAACACAAGAACACAGGACACTTCAGTGGTGCCTATTGAGGTCCTGGTAACAGGATTCTGTTTTTTCTTGCACAGGTTCATTACTGGTCTCTATTCCCTGTGACCACAGCCCTATTCCTTTTTATTAAAGGATGGAAAGTAATAGGTAAGCCAAAATCTGTATATCTGCAGCTCCTCTCTTTTCTTCATTTTCTGTAACTTAGGTATCACACTACTGATTGAACAAAACCCGCTGTACTGTCAGTAGCTGCAATTCTAACTTCTTTGTAATTCAACCCACAGAACGTCAAATAAGGCAATACTCAATGACAAGCACCTAGAACGTCCAGAAATGTAATATAGTAAACAATCGTTTGAGAACATATCTCTTAAAATAATACTGATTTCTGCAATATACAGTATTTACACAACAGCTGCAAATTTGCTCATACAATATTTCTAATATAGATAAATAGGAATACAAGTCTATGAATTCTTTGCTCCATTTCCAAAATATTTTGTTACGGTGTAAACCATTGGCACCTCTCTTTTATTTTTACTAACACTTCTTTAAAACAAAAAAATCAGCCGATATGCACAGTTGGTTCGAGTCCCTTTTCCGCTCTAAAGAGTGACCAGTATACTTAGCAACTTACTTTCCTTCTGGTAATACTCTTTGGTGCTTCTTCCGATGAATTCTGGGGAGTGGGAGCGAGTGAGGAAGGAGGGAGCCGCTGGAGAGCCAGCCAGCCCTTGGCCCAGGGGCAGAGGTGCGCTGCGCTGCGCCGCCGTCGGGCTGTCCGCTTCGGACGGGCTGGGCGGGGCCAGGCGCTCGGCCAGCTCGCGTCTCATCTCTCCAGGGGCGGGGGGCCTGTGGGGTGCCTCCTGTCAGGAAGCTTCTCCTCTCTCTTTGGGGCTCCTGCCCGAGCAGCAGCACCCGCTGGCTGGGGGACAGCGAGGGCGGGGGCCGCGGGCGCCTGCGAG